ACTTCCATTCACTACTCTAAACTTGAATTGGGACCATAAAAACAAGCAGCACAACAGATAAAAATACAACACAAATATTAGATGTATATTGTTTATGTTGTTCCTTGCTGGGCTAACACTATTAACATACTAACTACCACTGATGTTTGAAATGTAGCTGAAATAGGAAGCAGTTATTTAGCCTCACTCCTTTTCTTCTTTTCCCACAATTTGGAAGAGCAAAGGAGTTGCACTGTGTAAAGTGACATTGGTTTTATATACTGACACTGCAACCCTGACCATAACTCTGAAAGTTTTTTTGACTCAGAAAGTCTGATTGCCCTATTGTACTTTTAGATTAAGGTTGGCCAGTCCCACTAGGTTACAGGTTTTACTTCAGTAGAATATTATGTTTGGATAAATAAAAATTCAAAAGTGGTCTCTGAGATGTTACAGCCAATTAACGGGCTCGTTTTAAAGCACAACAGGGATCCGGGAAGGTCTATTTTTTCCTTCTACTTCCATTCTTGATTTTCTGCTTAGAAAGGTTTAATTTTACACTAAAGTAATTCCGGAGACGTTGGTTTGCGCCATGAATTGTTCCAGGACAGGTCATTAAACAGATTCAGGAGAGGCCAACTCCTTCATGAATACTTCAAAGCAGAACAAGAAGGTAATCTTAAAAGAGGAAAATATTTAAACCCTCACTTTCAAGCCAAATGAACAAGATTTTCAGTTTTACGAGAAACATTTCTAAACCGTAGTTAAAATTATGTGTGTGTATATACATCTATATGCTACATATTCACACATATATAGTATATATTCTACCTGTCTGTTTAAAGCCACTGTGCGGGTCATGTGCTAATTGAGACTAATATTTACACAGTAAATATTCAAGAGGTAGATTATGCAATTTTTACTACAGATGTTTACTTCCAGTCAAATCTCAAGTATTAATTTATGGGAATTCCAATTCCAGGTAGACATCCTCTGCTGCACCACTAGTCACCTATTTTTTAACTGCCTTCTTAGTGAGCTCAAGGAAATTTAATTTTTTTAAATGCCAGCTTATAGAGAAAACTCACAATGTAACGTTTCAAATTCAAGCAATTGTTTCATCATTGCTCCATTTATGACTGACATACAATTGATAATTTAATTAACCTGTTATTCTAGATGCATAAAAATTCAATCCTGTAGTAATTAAATTATACAGGATAGGCAAACACTTGAACAAAATACGGTAATACTCAGCGTTAATATGCTAACATAAATAACATGCAACAACCTTCAGTAACTTCATGGGATATTAAAACTACTAGGCCAGTTTTTCTGCTGACTTAAATATGCCATTTAAGAATTAAAAAAAAAATCAGTCTAACTCTCCTAGATTATATAAATTTGGACATTACCTTCCATCTGGAATTTAGTTTTAAGTTTTTAATCGTTACACTGGCAATTCTTTTCATGGCATATGCATGAGTCAGGAATAAGTGATGAACCAAGATGAGAACTTTCACATTCCCACATGTACATACATACAGGATAGTACTTACTGGTCAGCCATTCTTGTTGGTATCTTGACCGAGATTTAAAATTTTAAATCCTGATTAAAAGGAAACAAAGTTGACCCAAAGTAGTAACAAAGGTAGTTGAGAAATGATTTTTTCTTGCCTATCACAGGATTTCAAGGTAGAGTTGGCTTATCTTTGATGCCATGATTTAGTTCTAGGAGGTTTTAAATAACATGACACTAAAGCAGCAAAAAATTAAAGAACCACAGATTGGTTTCTTCTGGGACATTACTTAAGCTAAACAAATTTCAAGATCCAAAAGCAATAAAGTGCTACTAAATTTTAGCTTCTTGAGAAACAGCTGATATTGACAGTTGTTCTAATTTGTGATGTCTAGTATCTTAAAACATAAATCCTCCAAATGGCATTACTATTTAACTTGAAATTCCAAAAGTAAAACCTTTCTCAAATCTTGAGTGATTAAAAAAGAAAAAAAAAAAAAAAAGTTGAACCATTGGTTAACCCCTGTCACTAAGGATACACGTTAACTAGAAGATACATAGTAAAATATAACAACCTACAATTAAAGATAATCTCCCATATGCTTATATTACATTAAAGAAGTTCAAATCTCTGTATTTACTAAGGAAGTTCTAAAAAAATTATTCCTATTTGTAATTGTCAAGACAATTGTAATTGTCAACACCTAATGTCAAGACAGTAGGAACAAGTAAAACTTCCAAAGGAGAAAAATTTGCTCTAAGTTCCCAGATATTCTTTAACAGTTGGAAATCAATTCCTTGTTATCAACCATATCTCAAAAAAAAATGTGAAGTCAATCTGTTATTTTTGTGATCTTAGTTCAAAATGTTTCTCTTTCAAGATCCCATATAAAATGAAAACCCTAGCTTTTCTAATTTTATATGCTCAAGCTTCTCTTTAAAGGTGAATCACATAAAACCTTTTTAGGTTCATTTAAAAAGTACTAAATAGCAACAATGCCATTGCTAATAGGCAAATACCAGATTATCCCATGTATTAAACTGACTAGTCTTCCATACCAATGAAATCTGCTTCATATGCTGATTAGATACCCTTACAGCCATCTCTGCTCCAAGAGGAGACATATACTTACCTATGTTTACTGATTATAAAGACTATTGATTAAAGAAGAAAACAAGCAAAATTTTCACCAACACAGATACCTTAAATGTTAAAAAGACCTGTTTTTCAGTCAGTGACAAACTGATGCCTTTAAGTAACAAAAGGTACAATACTGCCCACAGCATAGTCCATTTAAAACAGCCAAGCCATCACTAAAACTGTATCTGTAATGTGATACCACTGAAAGATATATTATCAACTTTCAATTAGAAGGAACTCATATAATGGAATCAATACTTAATACATATATATTACTTATCTTTAAAAAAGTTATATCACATTAAGATACGAAAAAAAACTAATCAACTTTAACATTAATGTGAAAGTTGTAACAAGTAATGAAAATTCAGCTTTTGTAATAGTAGCTATTTGTGGCAGCCAACATTTGCTGTGGAGTGAGTTTATACAAGTTTAGAGATAAAAAGAAAAAGGAGATAAGCACTTTACAATATACTTTTTACTATAACTATAGTGTTCGCTTCAAAGATTTATTCAGCAAATTAAATGTTAATTTGCCAATTTTTTACTTCTTTTGCTTTTTTACTTCCTTTTCTTAAATTGAACTAATCCCCAAGATTTCAACTCTATAGGATTTGATGCACAAAAATACAGGTGTTTAAAGGGAAAAAATTGTTTCAAATTAGTTGACTTTCAAGCTACAACAAACACCTGTGTTCTAGAATAAATGTGGCAAATGACTTTCCAAAAAATCAGAACTATATATAGGGAATATTAAACAAAGCCAATGTGAAACATAAAGATTATGGCATGACTTCTGACATATACTTAGCCCAGTTTCCCAAAGAATAACAAGTGCATGCTTTCCCTTCAAAAACAGGAAGCACTATTGCAAGCAGCAAATATCACAGGACCGGGCATAGTAAGATGGAGAGTAAGGGTTAAATCACATCTTTCAAATCCTTTGAATTTAATTCCATCAATTCAGTTTAGCAGGGCTGTCACTTTCTTTCCACAGTTATCAAATGCATACACATTTGAGTACAGGCACAGAAACTTGTCATTTTTATTTGGGTAACAAAGGGTCTCCAAATTATAAAGTAAATCCTAGTTATTATTACTCCTGTAAAAAAAAAATTAGCACATTTGTCATAAATGATTTATGTAAAAGAGAAGAAAATACACATAATTTTATATCTTAAACTTCTTTATTCCCTACTGGAGACATTATTTTGTCTTTCGTTTTCTTTCAATTTTCTACAATTTCCAACTTGTACCTGTATTTAATACTGCTTTACTCTGCTAAAGACAATAACTGATTGCTCTCCTAAATCTAAGGATTATATAGTTTTAGTATAAATATATAGCACATATTTTCGTAAAATTTTGACAAAACCGAATAAGCATGCCTTGTTTTAAGTCCATGCTCCTTCCACTGTTTATAAAATCTGATTTAATGATCAAAAATTCTTGGTTATCATTCTTCAGTTACAACAGTCTTCCTTCTGAACTGCCACTCACTTTTTACATAGTAACAAGCAATAGAAAAAGAAATTATCTTAATCTTAGTTCTTTCCTTTGACACTATAAAATAATGTGAGCTTTTTTTTTCTTTTAAATGAAACAAATACATCCAAAACGCAATACATTCAAATGAGCTGTGTTTCCCTTAAGGTGATCACCTTGGAAAGCCACCACAGTTCATTCTCCTAACTATGCTACAACTGCTCAAAATACCTTTTGATTGCCTTCAAAGCCTGTTGTATACTGTGCACTATTACCTCAAAGACAGGTATAATTTTTGGAAACCATCGAAGCCATTAAGTGCTAAATAATGGTAGATATAAATCAATCAAGGTTGGCAATACATTCTTTTTTTAAAGAATGTGTAACTGATCATAAACTTAGTAGTATTTGTGACCCAAATTAGCTCTGAATGCAATTCTAAAAAAGCATTAAAAAAAAGGGTTTCGAGCAGTGGTAGGTTGCTGGAATTGGGAAATAATCTTCCAGCATGATTACTATGCAGGGTAACATTCATTTAGCTGTCTATGTTCTGGTATATTTGTTTAAAGTGAACAATCTTAGAGCTACAATTTATTCTTTTAAAAAGGAATCTTTCTTAGAAAAATGTTTTCTTAACTCCTTTAAAGCATCACTGTCAAAGTAAGCACTATGCAAGTGTTTTGTTAGAACTAGTTCTCCTTACTTTATCAATAAAGACTACTTTTAAAGACTTGAAAGCAAACAATAAACTTATTTGCTCCCAAGCTTTTAAAATCATTAACTAGCAATAAAATAATTTCAAATTTCTAAGATACTAAAAAACAAAAAATCCAAAAACCCCAAATGCAATAAAAAAAAACACATCAAGAACCAAACTACAATTTCTGAGCTGCACTGTTTATTTTGCTGCTTGAAACCTAAGTGACAGTATGCCACTATAGTTATGGGGTTTCGTCTAAACCTTTACTACACTGCAGGTACAGAAATATACGGACACATTTTTGGAGAATTGACATTTTGCAAAATGCAGCAAACATTTTAATTTATACATGAGAAAAGGAAGTGTTCAAAAGGGTATGCATTTCAAGTTATTGCAGGTTATTTGTGAGAGAATTTCTGCAGGTAAAACATGTTTAAATTTAACCAACAGTAGCGTGTCAGTGTATTTAAAATCATGACAAAAATCTTCTCTCTGGTCATGTTGCCCATGACAAATTACTATGATGTTGTATGCTTAGGGCAAGATGTCAATACAGCATAAATCCCATGGCATTTTGGTTTTCTTCTGGAGATTAAAGCTGTTTTTCTTGGGATAAATGCAGCAGCAAAACACAAACCAGTTGATCAAAAAAAGCACTTCTGCCATAACGCCAATAATTTTCAGGACACATCAACCGACAGTAGTTTTGCCATTCCCAGTTCTTTTAAGGATTATATCTCTGCACTGTTGCTTTAAGTATGTCTGTAAAAGCTTGTTCTCTGTTAAGCCAGTTTACTGACTACAGCCTGGTTGAGAGAATTTAGTTGGTTGGTCCATTTATCTAGTGCAGTATATCGGGCACCACCCCTCTTCTGATGATCCAGTTCAAGAAGTTGGTTGACTTGATCAATTCTGCCATGAATAGTGCTGGAAGTAAATATATAAAAGGCATGTCAACAAACCACTTTCACTAAGCCTATTTCCTGCACTGTTTCATAAAACATTCATAGTATCAATAAATGCAAAAGAAAAAAACTGCTGCCTACCTTAAAAGACAATTCAGCATTAATTGCAACACTCATTACCTTATTCAAACTGGAGATAGAAACCAATTTTAGCTACTTTTCATCAGTTTTACTGAAAAAAACAATGGGCGTAGACTTACCCAAATAATCAAGAGCAAACATAATTTGTGAAGGTTTAAAAACATCTTTTATAAAAAAAAAAACAAGTCCAAAACTTTACATACCATCCTTATAGTTAAAACACAGAAAAAAAATATAGTTTACTAATTAATTCACTAGCTGTATCTGGACTACACATTGAGTGAGAAATCCTTTTGAAAAATCATTAGAACTTTTTCAGAATACAGATGCTTAATATGGTCATTCATTTATTAAAAACCAGCATGCGCGCGCACACACACACGCACCCCCCCCCACCCCCGCATCTTATAATAGAAAAACATAGTCAGAGGGTACTTTATGAAATATCAAGAATTCCAATCGCTACCTTTGTACCATTATTTATGGAACTAAATATTTTGTGATAAAAAAATAAGTACTTACTTATCCAATATGCACTGCACCAGTAAGCTCTCCACATCAGCTACATCTATGTTTAACTCCTAAGACAAAAGACTTATTATAACTCTACTAATCAACTTTGAAAAGATTTCATGATCTTTGTATTACTATTTAAATTCATTCCTACCAATTAACAGAAAATTAGTTCAGATAAAACTTAAAACAAATTTCATTATCACTTCAAAATATTTCTGAGAATGTAAGTCTGATAAAATCTGACTTCGCAACTTTTACAGTATATTCTCACCACAATTTTATTGTGCTTGGGGTTAATCCTTCATCAATTAAATATTTTAGCCAAAACTCTCTTTTCTACATTTTTCTTGGAGGCTAAAGGAATATTTTAAAAGAAATTTAATGATTCCTTATCTCTTTTATATTAACTGAATTTATGCCAAGAATACACAAAAAAATTCACATTAAAATCCTAAAGTTAAGCTGTATTTGAAAGATGCAGTTATTTCAAAATATTACCAGGTTAGAATTACTATTATAAATGGAAGCTAGATATACAGTGCATAACTACAAATTCCATGAATATAAATACCTTAGAAATAAAAGGAATATGTATTCTTGTGTAAGGCTTTATTAATTTTATGAGCACTTGTGTTCTGATGTTTCGCAAAAGCTCTGAAAGACAAAAATTAAAATACATTTGTATATAAGTTCGCATATTTTCATCATTGCACACATCTAAGTCATATTATTTAACTGTTTCATTTATCTTCTCATGTGACACTACCTAAAATGACCTTTTTGCTTTCTCAATAATATTCCACTCCACATCATTTCCTGTACAGTTACCATCTTTCAAGAAGCTGATTTTTTACCAAGTTCCTCACTTTATATTCTTTCTATACCGTCAGTATATTTTATACAATGACATTATAATTTCCCCCAGTATCTTCATGTATCATGTTACTTAAAAAATTTTTTTTACAAACTAGATTGGAGTTCAAGCACAAGGTTCCTACATATTTCTATATCCACAAAATGTAATATTATTTTAGGCTCCTATAAGAACTTTGAGTGGGGTCTCCCTGGTGGTGCAAGGGGTTATAGGGCAGCACTATCAAGCCATCAGCAGCCACTGCAGCATGAGTTCAATCTCCGGCCAGGGAGCTAACCCACATGACGCAGCAGACCTCTCCTGCCTCGCCTGCTGCTCCCCTCAGCAGTGTATTTCAGTAGATCTGCCTGTTTTGCTCCCCAGTCTGTCTCTGGCGATTCCTCCCACTCCCTGCACTCTGATCTACGCCCCAATTCTTGTGTGCATAAATAAATAAAAATAAATCTAAAAAAAAAAAAAAAAAAAAAAAGAACTTTTAGTATCTACTGAAAGAGAAAAATGGTAAAGAAGAAAAGAACATTATTTCCAAAGTGTCTGGATTTTCTCAATGCATCCTGAATTTACATATTTGAATGAGTTCTTCCAATGAGAATTTTAAAAATCCTCCAGTAGCTATGTAAGTGGGAAAATGGAGATATAAAAGAGTCTCCAGGACAAAGGGATGATCTTTGTCTTTGTTAATCCAATAAAATTCACTAAAAATCTTATATACTTAGTCGTATAACAGCCTACACATTTCATAGTAAATGCATCTGAGCATTATCCACAAGAGGATTTATCAAAACATTTGTTTCTTGTCAAAATTATGTCTTAAAAAATTAACTTGAATTTAAGTAATAACACACAGTAAAGTCTAAATTTGAATAAAAATATAAAAGGGACAGCCACCTCAAAACAAACATCATAAAAGAACTTGACTGTATCAATAACATAAAGCTGGCCTGTGATTTCTTTCAAACAGCTTTATAATTTTAACAAGTATCTATCTCATGGCAGCATTTAGTAACATTTGTATACTTTGCCTTAAACAGAAAAAAAAAAACCCCAGTCTAATTCTATGCAGCTTCAACAAGAGCTGTTTATGATAGTGGCAAAGTAATAGAATTCAGTTTGCAGAAAGAACATACCCTCAATGTGTTCCCTTATGAAAGGATCATCCATGATGTTGCTGTGATTTGTCTTCAGAATCTTTTCAAATTCAGTGATGTCATTATTCTGATAGGCACTAAACAGAAAAAGCAAAGCAGAAATTTTGACAAACATGAAAAAGATGTGTTAAATTAGTTAATTCAAAGGGCCTGTTACAATTTTCATATGCAAAAATCTAAATTATACTAAAGTTTTTGTCATGGAAATCAGAGTTAAACACACACATCCCTTCTGCAAATAAATTTTTGTAATGCTTCTAGGGTTACATACTTTATTTATAGTTATTAAAATCTTCAATAGATCTTAGCATTTTTTAAAGAGTTGACGATAAGTTTACTAACGGCTTAATGCTTGATACTTTCTAATGAAATCACGTACTTAATTCTTAAGAAACCAGCTTTCATACACACTACTTTATGAACGATTTTGGCCTTGTCTTTCAAATAAGATTGTATATCCTTCCTGAAGATTATTCAGAAATGCAGCTTCTTAATTTTTATCTTCTAGAAAGCTACCAGCAAATGCTAAAACTTTTCAGATATTTGATTCTCAGTTCTCTCTAGTGTCAAAATCCCACCAAGCTACAGAGCAGAAACATCAGTGGTGAATAATTAGTGCCAAGTAGGACACAAAGTTGAAATGATGGAACCTGATGCAGAAGGCCAAAGGCTGATATATATGTTCATGATTCTCTGAGGTGTCTAGTATCTACTGTTGAAATAAATTTTTAAGGCACTATGGGGATTCTAAGGTGCTGAGAAGGAAGAAGCCAACCTTCTGGATATGGCACCACTGTCTGCTTTATATGTAAGACATATCATCAGCCATTCTGCACGCCCTCTGCTGTGCTTCCATCTGTTGGGTCGCAATGTAACTTCGTGTTAGGGGCAGGTGATTCAAGTGCTTCAACAGGAATTATTTTCCTCTAGTCTGCTGGCAACTGACTAGGAAGATAAAATTAGGAAGCATTACTTTCTTACCTTATCCCAAATAATTATTGTAATATACTATAGGAAGACATACTCAAGTAATTAAAACACTTGCACACATGTATATTCCAAGAAACATTATTCCACTATTTAAGTGGCATTTGGGTCAAAATTTATCATTATAAGTTTCCAAGTTCCAACAAAGAGGCTTCACTGGAATAAATTGTCAGATATAATAACTATATGACTAGACTACATTTTAAAAGGACTAACAAATCAGTCTTTAATTTATTTTAATGTATTTAAATAATTTAGCTAAAAATTAGGCCAAAACTTTCCTTAATATTTAATGAATTTTAAACTAATTTAATTTGAGAAACTATTTTTAAAAAGCACCATGAAGTTAGTCTCTCACCAAATCAACTCTTAATGTGGCCAAATGTAAATAGAATTATGAAACAAAGATCGAAAAAGTCACCTTTCATAACTAAAATCTATTCAATTCAACATTAGTCAAAAAAGTTACAGATGTCAGATGGTTTCACTTATCTGTGGAATATAAATACCCTAAAAATATTACAGGCAAGTAAGAGAAGACATAAAAATTTTAACTTGGCAAAAAGAAGATAATGATTACCAGAGTGAGTAGGTAAAGGGGTGAAGGGGGTGAGTGTGGGAGGCAGATAGGTTATGGGCACAGGTGGTTTGGTAGAGGGGAAAAAAGGGAAGAAACATTAATTCAATAAATATATATGGAAAAAGAAAAAAGAATTAAACAAAAGAGTGAATATCTTTGGCACAAAATAAATAATCACAAAAGAGTGATTATGTAATGTGGCAATTTAGGGTTTTCACTCCCTAACCATTTCTAGTACACCTAAAATAAACACTGCAATTTGTTACAGCTAATATTGAGGCTTCCTTAAAAATAAAAATGTAGTAACTTAAGGCACAGACAAATAAAAACAAAGCAAATGAGGACACTTTACAAAGGAATGTAATATCACGAAATAAGCAATTTTCTCTAATTATATGAGTTTATGTAAGTGACTCAAAATTCACAGTCTAACAGTAGTTTTCCTAATGAAGAAACACTATAAAGAGAAGGTCTGGCCATCTAAATTATCTACAAGTATCTGCAGAAAAAAAAGCCCTGCACTTTGTCCTTAACTATATTCTTACTGTCTTGGTAAACTCAGCTCTACTACCCAAAACAAAGGACTTAGAGAAACCTAGCAAGTTTTTCATAACTTTCTATAAAGGAAGTCTTTTAAAATCTGGGCTCCATTTATTTCTGGTCCAGGGGAAAATTTTTCTTACTCAGATTTTTTTTGGGTGGGGCAAAAATAAGACTTCTTTACTAGATTTTATCTTCTATAATTTTAGTTAACATTAAATGGCAGGTTTTTTTAAGATGCTAACCATCATTAGTCATATCTTGCACCTCTGAAGCCTCCAAGAGATCCTTAGGTTTCTTACCATTATGACCTCCCCTGGCTCCTAACCTCAGATAATTACCTGAGGTAAACATGTTTCAGATTATTATTTTTATCTTATCATTCTAGAAAATGAATAAAGAGACAAGTTCATATAATCTTTCATACCGAAAATTCTTGACTTAGGTAGACCAACTTATACTCTCAGTTTGGAACAATGCAGTTAGAAAGAGTAAACACTGTGTAATTGTTTTAAAACATCTACAATTAGTTTTCTACTGAAAAAAAAAAAGCGCATAGACACACAAAACAAACAAGAGGATTATAAGGGAAGAAAGCAGCACACACAAAATCTTGTTACTAACAGAATTAGTATAAAAAATAACTTCAGGGCCTTCCCGGTGGCGCAGTGGGTTAAGCACCATGCTGTGAAGCTGTCCGCAGCCTCTGCAGCGCAGGTTCAATTCCTAGCCGGCCAAGGAGAAACCCACATGGCTTGGCAGACCTTTCCTGCCCCGCCCGCTGCTCCCCTTAGTGCGTCTGCCTGTTCTGCTCCCTTCTCTGTCTCTGGTGAATTCTCTCACCCTCCAGCACCCCTGACTGTACCCCAGTTCTTGCATAAATAAATCTTAACAAAAAAAAAAAACTTTAGAAGATAAAAATCTCACAAGTTGGTATACTTCAAACCAAAAATACGAAAGAGCAAATGTTAAACATAACTGAATTCTGAAAATTTTTTTCCTTTCTTTTCTTTTTAAATATTGCTTTAGGGAAATTTTCTTTAACTGAAATATAAAATCTTACCTTACTAAATTTGTCATTGCTAGAATTTCTGGATCATTTTTGTATGGTTTGGCCTAAACACAGTAAAAAAAAAAAAAATTAACTATGTTACGTACAAAGAAAAACAACACATTTCTACAAAGGATAACTAACAGAAGTTACATAATTAGAGCACACACATACCTCCTGTGAGTCAAATGGATTTATTCCCGATTTCATTAGCATATTTGCTAAGACTAAATATTTTAAGCAAGTGGTTCGTCTTGGACTTCCCGATTCATCATAATTCTTGAAGGCTTCAAAAAAATCAGTGTGTGCCTTTTCAAATTCACCTTCTCTCAAGTGCATTTTACCACCACATTCTGTAAAGAATTAAACACAGACATTTTCAGTTCTGTAATAACAAGAATGACCATCTTATAAAAGACAAACGAAAACTATTTAAATGGTTTCCAGACTTTAATTCTATAACCTGAATAGTTCTAGAGCCCAGGTATACTTTTTAAATAATAAGCTCTTTACTTAATAACTGCTAATAAAAGCATTAGCAAATTTTTAGTCTCAGTTGAAACACAAAGTAATTTAACAGGCAGCACTACAATTGAAGAACAGAACTACTGAAGATGAATTTTCCATTAATATCTTTCTTCACTGATGTAAATTTTACAAGACTAAATATTTTAATTTCTAAGACTAGATCATTTCACTGACTTCACTACCGCTTATTTTAATGAAAACAGAAACAATCTTCAAAGTCATTCAGTCACATGCAATGACAACTTGGTATCTCTCCACATCACTGCCCACCCTATCCAAACCAAACTTGCCTCTGATGACTCCCATGATGAGTGGATGAGGGATGGCAGACTTGATGTGAAGTGACTGCTCATAGAGTGCTTTAAGCTTTTTGTTATTTTTCTGTGCTGTGTACATCTGAATTTCCAAAGCATATATTTCTAATAACTGTGTACCTTTTTTCAGGTCATCTTCTCCATCATCAGTCTAGGAGAGCAAATAATAAACTTCAGTCAAGAGAGAATTCAGTAAACCTAGTAATTTTTAGTTTACATCTGAAATACCAGTTCTGTTAAAAAATGCCTACAAATTTTAGTTGGAACCTAGTGCATTAAGAACATTTCCTATAATGGACAAAAAGGAACCCATATATTCTATATACTTTGTCACTGGGTAAGGAAAAAGAGGTTATTTTTTTATGTATAAAATGTTGTAATATTTGTTTTTATCTGGTAGACTATTTCCCCAAATGTTTACAAGCACTTTAGATCCACTAATTTAATCAAAAAGCACTTTCTGGGTGCCTTCCTTGTGCCTGAGTATCTCAGAGAAATACAAAGTTGAATAAGCCAAGGTTCCTGGTCTCAAAAAGTTCACAATCTAGTAGCATAATATTCAGTCAACAGAAAAATTATGTGAAGTGGTAATGATTCCAGTTCAAGTATGAATCAAGTATCTAGGAAGATGAAGTGAATGGGACATCTCCTGGGTAATGTCAAAGGAATAAAACAGATGGTGACATGAGTCTGACTTTGAGAGATGACCTACAGCCCACAAAATGTGAGCCAATAAAAACAGCATATGGTAAAGAGTCAGATAATCCTAAATATCAAATACTGACATACTACAAAGTCAGTATTATTTATTTGATCTTCCAACTTAAAATTACTATTTAGTTACTCACTAGTAAATTGTAAACAGAGTAAAAATTATAATATACACGATAGTTTGTACATCCAGATTACCCTTGCTATACTATGCTATTTACAATCTACATAGCATTTTTCTTATGTAACCAAACAAAACTTCTCTAGAGGGCTTTTCATATTCCTTATGTATACGCTGAAACTCTTTCACTCAGAAATGGCTTCTCTATGACTTTCATTTCACATGCAAGTGAATCCACAGTTGTTAAACAGACTAAGCTTTCCTAAGAATGTAGATAAGATGCCATTTACAGATGACTGATCTGCTTTATAAAGCAAACCTATTATGAAATATAAATTTTCCTGTTTAAAAAGCAAAATTATTAATGAAGATAGCTGCATGTTATCTAGAACACTTTCCTAATCATTTTTTCCCTATACAGAAATAATATATTATTAAAATAATAGTACATGGCATTGGAAGAGCTTAACTTATTTAACACAGCATTCTACACAAAATTTAAACCAATTATCAAATAACTCATTTGATACTGCACTGTCCAAATCATGGAACTATTCAAATTTAAGTTAAATAAAATTTAAAACTCAGCAACTCTGTCACACTAATGACATTTCAAATGCTTGATGACATGTAGCTGGTGCAATCATCCTGGATAGCACAGATACAGAATGCTTCCAGCATTACATGAGGTTCTACTAGACAGTGCTGTTACAGAGGATTCACACATTATAAACTATAATACATCTTTATTACCTATGTCCGCAGTATCTTTTTCTGAATTTCACAGAGTTTATAAATAAGAACGAAAGACTTGTTCTTAGTAAATAAAATTTTTTTTTAAAGATTTATTTATTTATTTATACAAGCACTGGGTACAGTCAGAAGCGCGGGAGGGTGAGAGAAATCACCAGAGCCAGAGCAGGGAGCAGAGCAGGCAGAAGGACCGAAGTACACTGCTGAGGGGAGCAGCGGGAGGCAGGAGAGGTCTGCCCGCCATGTGGGACCCTCGCCCGGCAGCCAGCGATGGAAACGGCGCTGCAGAGGCTGCGGGCAGCTTTGCAGCCCAGTGTGCAACCGCTGCGCCACCGGGGAGACCCGTAAATAAATTTTTTTTTTTATTGTCACCTGTGCCTCACAAAGGTAAGGATAGAAATTAGGATTAAAACAGGAAGAAATGTAATACTCAGCATTAACAAGTTTTCTTTTAACTTATTTTCTAAATGTTATTTTTGGAGTAATGTTTTAACAAAAACATTCCTAAGCAATGGTTCAAATACAATTCTTATACTTCGTTATACAGAAATATTAAGAAAAATTAAGGTAATGCTACCTGGCAGGACTGATGTAACTGACGTAAAATTTTTTGAAGCTTTCCATATTCCTCTCGTTCTAAATATAATTTCCCAAGCTGGAAAAAAAAAACAAAACAAAAAACTTATTAAATGAAAAGATTTCAACAGGAGAAAGTGTGTACATGTTTAGGAGAGTTTATTAAGGACACCCGCTTTTCAAAAGACAAAAATGTAATTGTGATTGTTACCTTTGTGTTTGTCTTAAACCACAGTCTATCATTCTTAGCATCTTTCAAAGCTTCCAGTGTTGTTTCATAGAATTCCTGCAGTAAGTCCATCTGACATAAAAAATCAGAATTCTATAATTGTAAACAGCAAATTTGTACCTGTTAATAAAGTTAATTTGAGCAAACTAAAACTGCATCTTTGAACTTTAATATACGTAAGATACACTATCTGTATCTTACTGAATGTCTGTGACAGTCCACAGAAATAACAAAAGCTTAGCAAAATACAGACCAAATTTACAAACAGTTTTAAGTGTCAAAATCTTTCTGTGATTTTTTAAAACAACATTCAGAAAATACCTAATACTCTAACAGTGTGGGATCATCCTTTGCAATCTAGTAACTCATTTTCTATAAATAAAAGTAATAATGTGCGCTATTAATGTACATTAATACTGTTTATCATATTCACTCAGTTCTTTTTTGGTACCCACTATGTGGCAAACACTAAGCAACCTGTTAAAGGAATAAAGGATAAACTGTTTCATCAAACTTCTTCTATAAATTTGACTAATCAATTAACCAGGCTACCTAACTTTTATGTTACTGGTAAACTGTGGCAGTTGGGCAGAGGGAAAAGTTGAGTATAATTTTAGGTGTGTCTAACATTCATCAATTTACCAATATGAGTGTGAATTTTTAATGGAAATCATTATTTGTTTTCAGTATGATAAGCTCCCCAGCCCATATCTGCCACCAACTATTTCTGGCTTTGTTTTTGTTTGAATACCTAATTCTTTAGCTCCATACCTAACAAAATCAAGGGATAAGAGGGTCAAGAGAATAAGAGAGCTTGATACTTTCAGTAAAGGCTGCGTATTTATTCATCGCTGAGAGCCATCTCATATTGAGGAAGCCGAGTGTCACTGACCCAATATCTGTTCTTATTTTCAAAAGACAAAAAGCTCACATATAATAGCATGCAGCAACATGCAGTCTTGAAGTTTTAAAATTATTTAAAAATTTAAATATCTGGCATAACACTTATAAATAACATACCAAAAATTTTTGATGACACGTTTATAAAACTCAGAAAACATTTTTCCACTTAAGAAAAGTTCCTCAATATTTAACAACCCTAGAATTAGACTATTAGTGCTAACGTTCTAGTAAAACATGTAAGTTTATCTTCCTCTATTTCTATTACATATATTTAAGATATAGAGTAAAAGTAATAAACTTCCCCCTCAAATCAAAATGACATCTACTAAAAATAACAGAATGAAAGAGACTTATTCTGAGATGAGCATTTTTATTATAGTATGAAAATACCAAATGTTCTAAGAAATAGTAAAAGACAGAGAAGACTCCTTGTGCTCAAATATATAAGAAATAAGTTTAGGATTATGTTGCTTAAAAGAATATGACCAAATAGTACATTTAAAAATTATCCTTGCAATAAAATTACTGCTCTTAATAACTATAACTTAAGCTAAAGAGCATATAACTTCCAGAACCTATTGCAGTTTCTTCATTATTAAATATACTTCCTTTCATCTACCAATCTTTTGTAGAAGCATTTACTGAACACCCAATGAGTAATGCCAAGATCCAGCTTATACACCTACAAGCTCTCCCCTCAACGATCTTTATCTAATAAATCTACACAAATCAGCTCTGATTCATTGTTTAGTATTTAACAGTAGTGGTTAGTAAAAGCAGTGGAGTTTATTAGAAAGAACTATTATATATAATACACAGGAATCTAATATATACCTGCAAAAGCTGTGTATAGATTAAGTCAGTATCTGAAGATATTAAAGAGATTAAGCTAGAATTACTATCTTTTACTATCACATAATTGGTGATATAATTAAGACAGTACACATTATTTTCAAAGCGTGTCTATATCTAAAATAGCTCCTTAAATAGACCCTCTAAGCCTTTAAAAAAAGAACCAAACCTTTAATATAATCAACAAATACAATGATAAGTACCATGAAGGAAAAAAACAACCTAATCTAACCTGTTTAGAAGTGGAGATATAATCAAGAATAGAATTAATGGATTTTTCTGAATAATTTCTTGTGACTGCACTCCGGATATAGGTCAATAGTTGCTTATATCTGTTCATCATTTCTGGAAAGTTTGTCTGAGAGGGAAGGAAAGTGAATAATTAGATACATTCATTTATGTATTAAAATATATGTACATATGAGCAAGATTATAGTACATTTACTACATAATTGAAAAACAAAGTTTTATAATAGAACTGCATGTAAAAGAAACACTAAACATTTCATCTTAAATTTGAAGTGATTACTCAAATTTATAAAGTTTGCCTATAAAAAGGAAAAGATACAATTTATAGATTCTCCGATTTTCAGAAACTTCCTCACTGTACAACAAACACATTCATTTAAATCATAAAAACTACTAAAATATTACTAGGCAAAATAATTGGTCTATGAATAATAAATAAATCCAACTTTTCAGATGCCTTGGGTACCAGCTATGCAGATATTAGCTCTATTTCGAAGGTTTAGAAAGCTGTCTATCAATCATTACATGTTTCTTTTCTGTATATTTTGGCTGCTTCTACATTAAAATGTGAAGTGAAAGAATCTTTTCAAGTCCAGGTACTCACTATGAAGAAAAGTCTTCCTCTGTAAGGATCTACTTAATAGTAGATGAACTTAACTAATGTTGCTATTCTTTGCAGGACTGCACTATTGTGATTATTCCAGGAAACATGAAAGATCTGAGGAAAAAAAGGACTACTAGTGAAATTACTAGCCCTTAAGAATTTCAGTGGAGGGTCCATGATCCCACAAAGAATATCATGAAAATCTAACCATATCACATTGTAGTCAGTCCCTATAATTTCCAAGTGCTGTTTAGCACTGTTCTCCTTCCCTTTATCCTACTGGGTTCTACCCTACTTTCAATCAGGGAGATGAAGGATTGGAAGATCGAATAGAATGCCTCTTTTCTTGACTCATAGAAAATAACGTTTATTAGTGTAAAGAACAAATGAATGATACTATACTTTCCCTGCTTAGGACTATGTTTGGCCCCAGGATACAGCATAAGGGTCAAGAAAAGAAAACAGGAGAAGACTCCCTGAAGCCTTCTAAGCAAGAATTCAATTACAAAGAAGAAAACAGTGGTAGGAGTGGGTGAGAAAAAATGGACAAATCAATGGAAAAAGTCTTAGCAATATATATCAACCTACTTTTATTTCCAATTACCACGTGGGGATAAATAATAAATAACATACCATCAGTGAGCTGCTAAAACCTAAGTTACAGAATATATCTTATTGCGGAAAGGAAAATTAGTAATATGTCTATACCAACTTTGAGATTGTATCTTGATTCTAAAATAGGGTTTTAGCAGAAGGTGATTTTGAATTCATTTCCTTATGCTATAATAACCTGAAAGTTCGGTTTTTCAAAAATTATGTTAGTGTAATTAAAGACAAAGAGAAGATTAGGTGAACTGGTTTTATCTGTAGTGGTGAACGCACAGCGGTTGATTACCAAGTCTTCTAATGTTTACTGCTTAAAACCAATATATAGCAACAGGGACCCCACTCTGAATCCAACTAGAAAATGAGGGGGGCAGGTAGAAGCTGAAACTACTCTCATAAACCACAACTTATCATAGATGCTCATAGACTAAATAAGATGTAAAGAATGTAACTGACTAAAACAAAGTCCTGTTCTTCTGGAGCTTACAACCTAGGGCAGAGGCAGTGGTGGTGGTGGTGGCAGAAAGGCAATAAATAAACAGATCAAGTGGTGATATATGCAAAGAAGAAAAACAGCAGGTAAGATGAAAGTAAGTGATGACAAGAAGGATGCTGTTTTTATATAAAGCAATTAGGGGAAAGCCATCTTGATATATGGAGACATTTGAACAGATACCTGATCAAATGAGGAAAAGAACCATACGGTGTTCTGAGAGGAGCATCTGGGGCAGAGAAAACAAGTACAAGCATTTATGAAGGAATGTGCTTGGGAAGACATGAGGAACAGTAAGGATATCAGTAGGGGATAGAAAACAAGCTCAGAAAGGAAGCCAGGGGCTTGTATGGCATTTGGATTTTATTGAGGACAGTGGAGACTACTAGAAGATTTGATGCAAAGGAATGACATAATCTGATTTATGTTTTAAAAACATCATTCTGCTGTTTGTAGAAATGACTGTCACAGGGCAAGGATGGATCAGTTAGGGGTGACTAGAATAATCCAGCTGGGAGAGGCACTACAGTAGCACAGGTATAAAGGGTAAGCAGCAGTTAAGACACTGGATATATTTTGAAGATATATAAAACTAACTTACTATTGAATTTACTTGTAGGGTAAGAGATAAAGGAGACAAAAATAATGCTAAGACCAACGCTAATCAGTGGAAGGGAGTGCTGTAATAAGAAGCAGAATTTTAAAACTCCAAAATAAACACTAACACTTTGTAGAAAAGCCACTCCATTGCCAAATACTATCTGTATCTAGAGGACAGATTTTTTTAAACAGAAAATTTTATATCATGTGCAAAATTTTTAAACTGAGTATTATAGTTTTATGTTACAAAACTAGGCTAAATAGGAAACATAGCACCAGAATTATTTTAGGAAAGTACACATAATGGCATGTTGCCATAAGATTTTTACCTATAAAATTTCATTATTAATTTAATTCTCCTTGAAACAAATCTTACCAACTTGAAGTTAATCTTAATCATTTGTTTCAGTGCTTTAAATCCCCATTCTCCTTTTTCACCTTCTAGTTCCAAAACCTGGAAAAAGAAATTTTCAGTCTAACTTAGTATTAACTTCTAATCACAACCTATGTCAAAAGAATTAGTTTAGAATTAATTTTACATAATCATGAGAAACATTTACAAGAATTCTACCATTTACCAATACCATTTTAAAAACACTTAAGAAACAAGTCTTAAAATGCTTACTCAAGGATAAGTGAACTTAATTTGATGTTTTATTCATCAAGAGATTTAAATAAGAACTACTACTTGATTATTATAAAGTCCCAGAAATACTTTATAATTTGAATAATGCATTGTAGGAATAACCCAAAAGTCTATCGGTAGTCAAGAAATCATAGCACTTAATAGTGAAATCAACACCTTTATGATCTGCCCCAAAAAGAAGGAACAAGATTGCAGGTATAATACCTTTTGACCATCACATAGGCTCTCCTACTAGAACCATACTAGTTTTTCAAGACAATGGCCCTGCTCTGTATATTTCCCTGCTTGAATTAAAAACAAACAAACAAACAGCACAGACCTTTTGAAATATCTGCTTGTGCTAAAAATGTGAATTTACTGCCAAGTATCCAAACACATTTTTCAGATAAAATTACTTGAAACTTATTTGATTTAATATACCATTAAAAAAATAATAAACTGTAAGACACAGAATCAAGCAGAAAAAATATGAACCTTTTGGAAACTGCTTAATGCTGCTTTTGGGTCATCTTCTTTTAATGCTTTGGAATTATAGTACTGATTTTCCAAATCCACGTTTGGCTCCGAGTTACTATCTTCAGAGTATTCCTGTGTGTTGGAAAGAGAGATTAAAATGAACGAAAGGAAACAAGAAAGACGAGAAACCCACACTTCATTGTTAAAAGTAAATATTACTGGGTCTCCCCTGGTGGCGCAGCAGTTGAGTGCTGGGCTGCAAAGCTGCCCGCAGCCTCTGCAGCACCAGTTCCATCCCCGCCGCTGGCGAAGGTCCCACATGCAGACCTCTCCTGATGCACCAGCTGCTCCCCTCAGGAGGGTATTTCATCAGTCTGCCTGTTCTGTTCCCCACTCCGGCTCTGGTGAATTCTCTCACCCTCCCACGCTTCTGACTGTACCCAGTGCTTGCATAAATAAATAAATAAATAAATAAATCTTTTTTTTTTTTTAAAAGTAAATACTACTAAGATGGAAAAATGAAACATTTCTACAAAACAAGCTTGTTTTTACTTTACATAGGTAAAGTGCCACTGATATTTAACCATTATTTAAAAGTAAGGGGACGGGCCTCCCCGGTGGCGCAGCAGTTGAGCGCTGGGTTACGAAACTGCCCGCAGCCTGTGCAGCGCCAGTTCGATCCCTGGCTGCTCCCCAGCCAGTGGAGGAGGGTCCCACATGGCGCGCAGACCTCTCCTGCCGCCCGCTGCTCCCTTCAGCAGTGTACTTCGGTCCTTCTGCCTGTTCTGCTCCCCGCTCTGGCTCGGGTGAATTCTCTCACCCTCCCGCACTTCTGACTGTACCCAGTGCTTGTATAAATAAATAAATAAATCTTTTAAAAAAAAATAGATAAAAGTAAGGGGAGGGGGAAGCCAAAATCAAGTGATTTTTGTAGTAGTACAATAGAATCATTTCATTTTTTTCATATCAAAATTACAATTTCCATAGAACCAAAACAAATTCTGAATGCAAAGAACTACTATTTGCCAATGACCTCCAATTCTGTAATGGTTAACCCTTTTGATCACTGAATCGGAGAAAAACGGAATGTAAATGTTAATTGCTCATCTTTTGTACCATAATAATTTCCTCTACTCCCTAAGTGTAAATTTCATTATTTTAACAGGGTCTATCTACCAAGGATGGAAATTTCAATATGCAGGATAATCTATTCCTAAATACAATCATGTAAGTAAAAGTATTTGTCTTTTATGTGTAGTCCACATTACTCAATAGCTGTTTAGTTATATTAATGTAATTTAACTTTGTAACAAATCAAAATAAGTAAATAGTGAATTTATATAATTTTATGTGACTTTCATCAGATAACTCAGTTTTCAGTACTTAATAAAGCAGAAAACAAAACTGGAAAAAAGCTACAACTTTGTGCAGGAATACAAACTAGAGTTTAAAATAGTTTCAAACATGGATTAGTATAATGGAAATTATTATTTAGTAACACAAGATTAGTTCTCCAGCTATCAGTCATCACAAAGTACAAGTGAATAACAGATTAAGAAAAATACCTGGAAGTAAACACAAAAAGGTAAGAACAATATAACAGCACGATTTCTACATTCAATATAGTTAACACCAGAGATATGTATGAAAAATTCTATAATATTTCTTAAAGGTACAAGAATTAAGAGAGTTATATAGTATTGGAAATTTCAAAAATACATAAACATGAGATGAATTTTTGCTGTGTCCAGTAGATGGAAGGAGATTATTTGATGTCAATATAAAACCAGTTTTATCTAACCACAGTGGCTTTGTAATGTGCGCCCTCTGGAGGATAATTACTTCCTGTGTAAGAACAAGAAGCGCTGAGACTAAGATTTAAGATCAATAATTGAGTAATGTTTAACATATGAAAGTCCATGGAACACTTTTCTGTTTCGAGATAAAAATTCTAAATAGTAAATAAATTCCATAAACGTTCATTCACTTCTTAACCTGTAACCCAGGTTTGACTACAATGAAAGAGATGAAACTAAAAAAAGAATTAATAAAGAATGAAAAAGCCAATTGTACATCAAATGATGCTGTGACAATAATGGCTTCCGAGGCTCATTTTGAAAGATAAATGAGTTTGCTGCTAGACAAAACGGAAAAGGGGAGAGAGAACAGCAGATACAAAAATAACAAACAGGAGAAAACTAAAGAACTAAAAGCAGTCACTTTATTGGGACATAAAAATGTTACTGATTCTACCTTCAACATAACTTTCAAAAGCATCCACGCCCCACCCCCTGGCGACCACCCTAGCCTACCAAGTCCTCTTCTCCTTCTACACTAAGTAGCCTTCCCAATCTCATTTTTAACCTGTAAATTCCAACATTCTTATAGTAAGTAGCAAGCATAATCTTCATAAAATATAAAGTATATCTCATTCTTTTTTTTTTCAAAAATGACTTCCCATTGCTCTTAAAATCAAGTTCAAAAATCATCAGATCTGACTCCTGATTGTGCATCCACTTCATCAAGTCCCATCAAGTTGTCCCCCATTCACTATGCAGCAGCCACTCTGATCTTAGCTTCACAAGTGACCAAACTTGGACCCACCTTTACATGTCATTCTCTTCTCTCCCTCTCTCTTCATCGGTTAATTACTTGCTTATCATTATAGCTGAAGTGTCACCAGTAAAGAATCACAGCTATAAAACCTATTTTATTTCCTTGGAAATCAGTTCTACTCTAGCTAACTGTTCAATAGCATACAGGAATAGATAGATGAATCAGAAAATTACTTTTCTACAATCCAAATCTTTAGAATGTACTCCTGGTCTGGAAATAAATATTTTTGATTTACAGTTATCACAAAGTCTCTTCTTCAAAGTCCATTAATTTTGGTTTCTTTGCCCACAACAGATTAGAAAAAAGAAGAGGTAAGTAGAAGCTAATAGACACTCAAAATGACAGTAGGACATGGAATTGCCAGCAAAGAGGAAACGGAAATTACTATTTTAAGAGTTAGGAATGTTAATTTCAATTATCTGGAAATTAATGAACTTTTATAATATTGCTCAAGACAGGAAACTTTACATTTCCTGCCATGACTAATTCAATCACTGAATCCCACACAAGATAAGACTGGCTACCTGCAGCTTCTGTGGGATGTGGCTGGTTTCAGATTAATGATATTTTAAAATTTTAGATGTTATAATTTCCTAAGAGCACAATGATCAAAATAAGACTTCATCTAGCCCCAAATATTTTATCAATTTTTTCTTTTGGTGTTATGGATTATGTGGACTAAGAAGTGCAATACCTAATTGTCCCCCCATAATTGCAATTCAACTCTTAAAATGTTGATGATACCTAAGAATTGGCCCAAGAACTGATATGTTCTGATTGGCTTCTTATAGTTAAGCGGTCCCCTGATAAGATCTGCAACACTATATTCCTATGGCTTGAACCAGCCTCCACGACATCACTAACTCACCTGTCATTAGAGCCCAGCAGATCAAACCATCATCACAAGCTGTGCTCTACAGCAAAATACTATTCACTTATTACAGAAGCATGGCTTTTTTTTTAAACTGGTATTTTGAAAAGTCATCAGAAGAACTCTGATCGGATACTGTTTACACTCAATGAGAATCTTTGATATACAAGCAATTAAGTGTTGTTCAAACAAATGCAAATCAAGTCTTTCCTCCTCAAGCTACTCATGGTCAGATATAATGAAAATGAAACAGGGCCTCCCTGGTGGCCTAGGGGTGAAGTCTCAGGGCTATCACTACGACAGCCTGAGTTGGATCCCCAGCCAGGGAACTAACCCACATATAATGCAGCAGACCTCTCCCGTCTTGTCCTCTGCTCCCCTTAGCGGTATACTTCAGTGACTCTATCTGTTCTGCCTCCACTGTCTCTGGTGAATCCTCTCACCCCCTGAGACCTCTAGCCTACACCCCAATTCCTCTCTGCACCAAAAAAAAAAAAAAAGAAAGAAACAGCAATATAATACAATACAATAAAAGCAGCAATAGGCATATTCTAGGTACAGAGGCAGCTCAAAAAAGAAGTAATCAACTACTTTTGAATTACAGGATGGGAACGTTACCAGAACTAGGTCTACTTAGTTCCACTAACCAGAACTACTTTTAGTATGAACAGGAGTTGAAGGGACGACAAAGGGCATGTGAGGCAAGTTCATATGTATAAATGGCACTCATATATGGAAGAACTATGAATAATTTTGCCCAAAGCAAAGGATGTGGGTAAAGGGTTGATGAGATGCTGTTTCCAGGGAGAAGAACAGGACTAGAAGTCTAGCAAGGAGTTTAGGTCAAACAGAACCACGGGAAGATTTTATCAGGAAATAATCATTATTTGTGTTCTAGAAAGAGCAACGAAATAGCCCACTGGATATTCTTCAGCAGTCTCACCAAGAGATGATGAAGTCTAGATTCCAAGTAGTAGGAAAGAAAGAGGATAAATAAAAGATGTCAGGCCTCCCCGGTGGCGCAGCGGTTGAGCGCTGGGTTGCGAAGCTGCCCGCAGCCTATGCCGCGCCAGTTCAATCCCTGGCTGCTCTCCGGCCACTGGAGGAGGGTCCCACATGGCGCGCAGACCTCTCCTGCCACCCGCTGCTCCCCTCAGCAGTGTACTTCAGTCCTTCTGCCTGCTCTGCTCCCCGCTCTGGCTCTGGTGAATTCTTTCACCCTCCCTCGCTTCTGACTGTACCCAGTGCATGTATAAACAAAACAAGCAAACAAACAAATAAATAAAACATGCCTCTATTAAAAAAAAAATTAAAAAAAAAATAAAAGATGTCAACTGATATTAAGGATATAAAATAAAAAGGGCCCATCATATGGGCATAAGCTAAAGGGAAATAAACTTATCTTTAATAATTATTGATGGCTTGGTTACACACAGTGCAACTAGTCAGAATAGGGTTAACAGGAAAAGTACTAAATAAATATTGCTGTCCTATATTCCCTATGTCAAGAAAATAGATTATAATTTGTAAAAGCTTAAGAAGTTTTTTAAAAGGCAAAACTGAAATTTTAATAGGTACCTTAAGAATGCTTTAAAAGGCAAAGATCTAAGTAATAAATAAAAAAGAAACAAGAACATTAAACAAG